ATAAATGAATATATATATATATTTTTTTTTAATGAGGATGTAGTCTCATTAGGTGGTAGCCCAGAGCTCTCTCTCCAGACTGGATGTAAGGGGGGTGGGGGGAGCGGAGGTAACTTAGGTCTGCTCTTGCCATCTCTCACCTGCACCTCAGCCCCTTCACCCCCCTTATCCCCCCTTAACTGGCCTGACAAGCCCAGGGGTAGCCAGCAGGTGGGCCCTACAAACTCAGAGACTGAAAGTAAGCACATCGGATGGTCTGAATATAAAAATTCCCACTGGAAGTGGGTCATGGTGGGTAGTCAGCCTAGGCCTGGAGCTGCCTTGACAAAGGTCGGTCTTCCCGGAAGTGGTCCTGTCTATTGTCTCTGTGCATCTGAGACCCCTCAGGGCACAGCCACAGCACAGAGCATGAGACCCCAGAACCCCATTGTGAGCTGGTTCCCCAAATACCAGCTCTATGTGCTGTGCACGTTAATTATTAACTATCCACCTAAAGAAGTTTGGCCCCGGGTGGGCGGCTCAGCTGGTTGGAGCGTCCTGTACACCAGGAGATTTCGGGTTCAGTTCTAGATCAAGGCACATACTAGGTTGTGGGTTTCAACAACTGATCGATGTTTCTCTCTTTCCCTTCCTTTCTCTCTAAAAAAATAAAAAAATAAAATAAATCGGTAAGAACATATCCTTGGGTGGGGATTCCAAAAAGAAAACAAAAGAAGTGTGTGTCTCTGCTTTCTCCCTCCCCCTCAATCTGCCACCAATGGATTTCCTGTAACCTTCCCTACCATTTCTCATTTGATTCTTGTGGGGAAAGGGGGCCACACACGAACCCTGACAAGCTCAGGGGAGGCCTGCGTGGTGGCCTCACACACTCAGAGGCCAAAAGTAACTACGAGGATGGTCTGAAATGAGAACGTCCCAACTGACCCTGAGTCCTGATGGTGTCCTGTCCGAGGCCGGGATGTTTGAGGAAGGTTCATCTTTACCTTAACTGAGTCTGTTTTCTTTTTGCACCTAAAAGCACATACCTTTGGTCTGAGTAATTCCTTTCTCCAGACCCCTCAGGGCACAAGCTCAGGGAGAGCGAGAGACTACAGACCCCTCGCTGTTACCTGTCGCCCTCCCTATGTGCTGTGTATGGTCATTGTTAACTGTCCTATACCCACCAACGTAAAAGGAGGATTAGCCTCTTCATCGTATCTTCATCCATTCCAGAGATTTCCCCACTTTGCTTCCTCCCGTCTCCCTAATCTATCACCAATGAATTTCATGTAACCTTCCTTATACCTCCTCCTTTAGTTGTAATGTATAAAATAAAGTGCGCCCTAGCTCGTTTGGCTCAGTGGATAGAGCGTCTGCCCTCGGACTGAAGGGTCCCCGGTTCCATTCTGGTCAAGGGCACATGCCCTGGTTGTGGGCTGGGTCCCCGGTAGGGGGTGTGCAGGAGGCAGCCAATCAATGATTCATCATTGATGTTTCTATCTCTCTACCTCCCCCTTCCTCTCTGAAATCAACAAAAATATATTTAAAATAAAGTGCAAAACTGCCATTTTCTCAATCCATTGAGATTTTTTTTCTCCATCTATTGAGATTTTGGTTCCCAGCAATTGTTGTCAGTTTGGCTCAAATAAACTCAAAAATTCTTACAGGGTTTGGTCATTTCTTGCGTTTACATTCTCAATGTATAAAATAAGCCAAAAACTGCCATTTACTGGAGCATTTTCTCAATCCATTGAGATTTTACTTCCTGGCAATTGTCATCAGTTTGGCTCAAATAAACTCATAGAAATTCTCTATAGGTTTGGACATTTCTTACATTGACACTGGTCCCCCCTAACACTAAAGAGGGGCCCTGGGGGACACCCTCCACCTCACAGCCCCCTCAGCCTCGGGGGCCTGGACCCTGGAGGAGGGGGGAAACTCGCAGGATGGCCTTGGTCAGAGGACCTGTGAGTCCTGGGTCTCTCTCGCCAATGGGGTGGGACCAAACCCGGGTACAGCCACCTCGGTCTTGGGTTCCGGCTAGGAAAGAATTCAGAGCCAAGACCCAAACCGTAAGAGAACATTTGTTTGGGGTCACAGAGGGAGAAAAGTAATTCCTAGAAGAAATGGGCTCAGGAGAGGAGTTGCGGTAAAGGAAGGGCCCTTGGAGCTTGGGAGTGAGGGAGCTAATGGTAAGGTGCCTGGGGAAGGGAGGGGGAGGGAGGGAGGAAAGGGAAAGAGAAAGGGAACGGCCTGGGGCCTGGGGCCTGGGCCTGAGGGTTTTAAGGGTGGAGATGCTGCAGGAGGTCCCATCGGAAGATCATTCAGCAGCTTTCCCAGAGTCCTTTCCCCGCTGGGGTGGTTCATCAATGCAGCTGGTCCTAACGTCACCCGTCAGCTGGTTTTGTCACTTATCGGAGCCTGGAGCTGAACTACAACTGAGGCCTAGACGTTCTATCTCCAGAGAGAAAAGGTCAGGGGGTCCAAGCCAGCGATGTGCGAGGGAGGGAAAGGCACCTGGGGGAGAGGGCCCCCAACAAATGTCCTTTGCTAGGCACCTGGCGCTTTCCATCCAGGTTCCCGTGGTCCTTGCTCTGCCGCCAACACCAGGGCTTTGAAGAGTGAGGGGAGTGGGAGAGAGAGGAGCCCTCAGCCCAGCAGAATTCTACGCCCCCCGCCCCCAAGGAGCTGTAATCTCCGCTCCCGCCCAGCCCCTCCACCTTGCTCCTCCTTCCAGGAGCACCCTTCCCCTTTCTCCTCCTCCAGGGAGCCTTCCTGGCCCAGGCAGTGCCAGTCCCATTTTTGGGGTCTCACAGACGCTATGCTCCATCCACCCCGGCAGAGTTCATTCTGGATAACTGACCCCCTCCCCCATTCCTAGTGCTGGACTCTGCCTCCACGCTGAGCACGTGGTGACAGAGAGTGGAAGGAGCACCTGTGTGGCCACACCCAGCGCCTGGGGAACCCAGTACCTGGGGTCATGTAAAAGACACTCCCTCCTCTAACCTGAATCGGCCGGAAATGAGTACGCAAGCTTGGAAAATCACCGCATGGCTCCCGTGTTCCAAACCGGAATGAAACTTTCTCCGCCTGGAGCAGAGATGTGGGAGGGAAGGGGAGAGAGAGAAACATGGATGGAGACACAGACTGGTTGCCTCCCGCACGGGACCCTGGCCAGCCCTTGACCTGGAATCGAACCCGAGACCCTTTTGCGTGCAGGCTGACGCTCTCACCACTGAGTCATGCCAGCCAGGGCGAGACACGGGTTCCTGGGACCTGTATCCGCCTCCAGACACTCTTAGTCACCCTGTCCTCCCCTTCGGGGGTGGAGTGCTGCAGTTAACAGTTGGCTCTCTGCTGCCACCGTGTGGCCACGCTGCTGGCTGCCCCAGGCCAGCGTCTCCTCGCCTACAGCTGGGTCACCGGGCAGCAGGTGTCCACAGGAGCGCCTGTCCCCTCCCCAGCTGTACAGGCCGAGGCAGGCACGCCCTGGGAGAAGCCAGCTCAGGGGCCCTGCAGCGCCCCACACAAGTCACCCCCAAGGCGAACTCACAAAGCCTGGCCTCGGTTTGGCTCGCGGCAGCTGCCACCTCAAAGGAGCGCTGGCCATTCCGCCCCCTCGAACAACACTCCAGAGAACTAGCACCCGCCTCTTCCTCCAGCCCAGGGACCACCTTAGAGGCAGCAGGGGGACCGCTCTAACCACGCAGAACCCCACCACCTCGGCTGCAGCACCCTCGGTGGCTCCCCGCTGCCCAGCTTCTACCTGGAGTTGAGAGCCCTAGGCCTTGAAGACTCCCCGGCTTCGCTGTAAACCAGTCCCACCAGGTCCTTCCCTTTGCACAGGCTGGTTCCTCCACCAGGAGCACCTTCCCTGCTTGCCTGCCATCCCTCCCTCCACCCCCATCAAACCCCCCACTCCTAGGTGTCTGCTGTCCTAGGTACACACACTCCTCTCATTGTGACCTCCCCTCTTCCCACCAGAACAGGTATGAGAAGCCGAGTCCCGCCAACAAGGGCGCCTCGGGCCGACTGCTGACCGAACACCGGGAGCAGCTGGGGACTCGGCCTGGCCTCACCCGCCCTGGAGGCAGTGGTCTGCAGCCTTGGCCAGGAGCGAGGGGAACAGAGCAGGGAACAGGCAGAAAAGCAGCCCAGGGCCTGTGCGCCGGGCAAGCGAGGCTGTGGCTGCTCCCGAGGGCTTTGGGGATCTAGGCAGATGGCCTGCTGCCATCCTCATCCTCACGGGAGCAGGGAGGGGCCACGGGCAGGAGCTATGCTGCCGTTTCCAGGGACAGTGAAGTAGGACCCTTCCGGTGCGCCTTTGCCCCAGCCCACCCACATGGCCACGCTCCCCACACGGCTTGCTTTCCGTGCAGATATTTTGGCGCAGCTCTCAGACTGGTGAGCGTGACTCATGCTGGTCTGAAGACATATACAGTGGACGCTGTTCTCTGATAAACACTTCCTGTCTTCCACTCCCCAACAGTGAGGTGGTCACGTTGTGGCAGAACGAGGAGAGGCCCCTGGGCAGCAGGGAGGGGCTCCTGCACTGGGCCCTGAGCTCTGCCCAGAGAGGTCTCAGGAGAGTGGCCGAGGCTGGGCCTTCCCTGCTCAGCGTCCTGGGGCTCCCGGCTGTGCCAGGGCTGACCATCCCCATCTTATTCAGCCCTGCCCCTGCCCAGCGACAGCAGCCCATGGCGCAGAGCCCCAGCCAGGGCTTCCAGGTGGGTAGGTGGTCCTTGGGGGCCCACTCAGGAGGAGGGGAGGCACAGGGGACTCGGACTGAGTGTGGGGGAAGGGCTGGCAGGGGCAAAGCCAGGGCGATGCTAGAGAAACCTTTATGTGTGGTGGGACTTCGGCGGAATGCAAACAGCTCAAGCCCAGGGTCCCACTCTGAGCTCGTGCGGCCTGATGCTGGTCAAAGGAGGGAGGGGAGGAGGGCAGGGGCTAGGGCGGAGGACCCGGTGTCTGTGAGCGAGAGTGAGTGAGCAGAGGAGCCAATGACCAGGCCCGACACGTGTCTTCCCCAAAGCACTTTAATGCACGCACCCACAGTCCCTGCCTGCTGCCTGGGCAAGAGAGGGCCAGCCCCGCCTGGAGTTCCCATGGCTCCCGTGCTCCCAGGGCCCAGCGGGCTCGGGGTCCTCATCAGTAGGTGAGGGGCGTCAGGATAAAGAGGCGGTCTTCTTCCTTGCGGATCCAGCGCATCAGCTTATGGATGGCGTCCACGGCGGACGCCTTGGTGCCCAGGGGGCTGTAGCACATGTAGAGCTCAAAGGCACCTGTCACCTGAAGGAGGGGCACAGGGTGACCATCCGGGTTAGACACGCCCTGCGGTCCCTGCCAGGACCCCGAAGCCCGGCCCGGCCCAGCCGCCTTACCCAGGCCAGGAGGTTCTCGTTGGGGCCTGTGTAGTAGATGGTCTTGAGGGGGCGGGACGCGTTGTGGGCTCGGCTGTGCAGGTACTGGTAGAGGCCCAGCAGCCGCTCCTGCTCCTCCTCACTGCTGTACGGGGCCTCCATTTCAGGGCTGGAGGTGGGGGAGTGGGTTTCAAAGGCACCACTGTCATTGCCTGCTCTGCAGATCTAGAAACACCTACTCCTGGCCAGGGCGACACCGCCACGTGTCCTACCCTCCGAATGCTCCCCAGGACAGGGCATTGTCTCCCCACCGCAGAAGACGCCCCAGGAAGGGCTGGGCCCACCCAGACTAGAGGCCTGTTCTCCCTCACGTTCATGGCATCTTTGCTGACCGTCCCTGAGAGAGGCCAGTCGGAGTTTAAGTGTCCAAGACGGAGGGACAGGTCTGAAGTGGAGGGAAGGCGAGCTGGGAACTCTCTGAACCGCGAAGGGGTGAAGGGGAGGCAGCGCCCCGCCTGGCCTCAGCCCCTCTGCTGGAGGAGGGGAGGAGCCCCGCATCCTGGGCTGGACCAGTGACCCCTAAGGCAGAGTTCCTCCAGGACAAAGGGCCTGAGGCTTCTGTTCCGGCTTCCTTCCTGGTGCATCGGGCATATAGAGTAGAGAGGTGTGTGCCCGTGCGGGGGGAGGGCGATAGGGAGTCTGGGCCCGGGTATCAGAGTAAAACAGACCCAGGGTGTCGGTCCTTCCCAGAGGGTCGTCAGTTTCAGCGCCACCTCAGCCACCTCCGGGCTCAGGCCCCACCAGCCCGCTCCCCAGCCCGGCTCCCGGGGCCTCCCTCACCTGGTGAAGAGTCCGGAGCTCTTGGACTTGTAGAGGAAGTGGCGCAGGTCGGGGATGCCCACCTGGGCAACGCTGTAGTAGGGCGTGCGCAGCGC